CCGCTAAACTCGTACTACTGCTTCGTTATTCTCAGTGACTACTTAGATGAGTGTTCACTTGTGCTTATGCAAATTATGCATACTAATTTGCTAGTATCACTACAGATCCTTTTAACTACAGCCCTATTAGTCTCCTACTGCTTATTGGCAAAGTATTCGAGGCTTTACTCAATGCTAAAGTGGTTAAGCATCTTACCTCTCACAACCTACTCTTGGACAAACAATATGGCTTCCATTTTGCCAGGTCTACTACTGATGTGCTAATGGACATCACTGAATATGTATATCAAGCTTGAGCTGTGGCTCTAGATATTTCAAAGGCTTCTACATAAGCTTCAGGGCTATGGTATTACAGAACTGAAGTTCAATTTGAACAAGTTCACTTCCAGATCCTTTCACACAAACGAGGATGTCTTCCAAGGTTCTATTCTGGATCCTACACTGTTTATGATCTTCATCAATGATCTTCCTGATGTCATCAATGTTAACATGGTTGCTGATATTGAAAAGGACCTCCAATCAGTGGTTAACTGATTGTAAATTTTGTATTGTAAATTTTGCTTGTAAATTTTAATTCCTCCAAAACTTAACCATCATAGAGAAACTTTCCTGTCTGCCATCAGCATGGCTGATGCTAGACACATGGAGAGCAACACATTGTGCCTTCTTGGCCTCAGGTTTTTAACCAACTTGAAGTGGAATGATTACATCGAATCAATACCTGCATCTACAGCAATGAAAGTTGGGTCACTGTGTCATACCAGAAGATTTTTCTTGTCCATCTATATTGCACATTTACAAATCTACCATTCATCCGTGCATTGAATGCTGTTGCCATATCTGGTCAGGTGCTCTTGCTATTCATCTCAAAGTTCTTGACAAAATCCAAAGAAGGATCTGCAATGTAATCGATCTTGACTTCAGTCACTTTGGCTTCCCTCTGTCTTTTCTACAAATACTGTCATGGTAACTGTTCTGACAAGCTTTTTTTCCTTATGCCCAGACTATGTGAATTTAAGTGTGCTACTAGATTGGCATCTAGATACCACCAATTTACTGTTGAAATAGTTAAATGTAACCCCAACTTCTACACCAACATTTTCCTTTCTCACACTTCCCATCCGTTGAACTCCCTTCCATTTATTTGCAACATCAATTTCTATCTTCTTGAATCCCTTTGATTTATCCTTTCCTCAATCCTACCTATAGCAATTTTTTTCTCACTTTCACTCTCTGTAACCCCCTGCATACTAGTGGCATTCCTGCCTTGCTTGGGGTGAAATGATTAAAAAAAAGTTATATATCAAGAGAATATATATCTTGTATTAAGAGATATTTCAATATAAATATCTAATATTAAAAGGGAATATTTTTCAACTCCTCCACAAGTGCACTTTTTTTTTTTTTTTTAGTTCAGATTTCAATATAAATACTCAGTGTCCCACAAAAACACATTTAAAGAAAAAATATTAATTTATAATCAATGCCCTCTCTTCCACCACCACCATTTTTTTTTTTTTTTTTTTTGCTGACTTTACACAAATGCGTAAAGTCATGTCAGAAATTTGTACCTTGATCTGTTGTCTTTGTCATTCAATTTTAACCAGATAATGATAAACTAAATATATTTAAAGGAAAAAAAAAAAGGATTAAGTTTAAACTATTTTTATAACTGCATCACACACACATGCTATATATATATATATATATACACACACACACACACGGTTGCTAAGAGAGTCGTATATTTGCTTTTAATGTAAGGTTGCTGATTTGTAAAATAGAAGTCCAGGACACTTTATTTATATCGCCTTCTGCTAAGGCAAATCCCCGCCTAAAAAAAAAAACCCTGCCTAACTACCTCTGCTGATAATAGAGATCTATCCCTGGTGTCTTGTTTTTATTTGGCAAATATGGTAACCATACTTGTCTGTTTGTGGTCAATTTCCAAATCCAGAGTAGGCTTCAAACAATTTGCTTTTCAAAGTTGGCTGTTCAATGTCAGCTGCCTGCATTCATAGCAGTAAAATTGTACACTTGTAAAATTTGCATTACCTCTGTGGTAGGACCAGGGTTTGAAATTAATGTTGGGATTACTGCTGATGTTGGGTTTTTTTTTTTTTTTTTGTGGGTGGGTGATATCAGAATACAAGATTTTTAATTAAAATTCTATTTATTATAAAAGCAACTAATTTCTTAGGATAAAAAAATTCTTCCTTCTCACAAGTGATGGTGTTCTTTTAATAAATGATGCATGAACACAAAAAAAAAAAATTAAGTGCTTTTAAAACTGGTGAGTGAAACCTAAAATGAAGTTTAAATAATTTACATTTTGATATTTCATAATTCAACTCTAAATGTAAAAATATGGTAGGATCTATTTGTAGGAACTAATTTTGCTTTAATAAAGAAAGCAAGAAAATTTGTTTTTTTCTGTCAAAGTTTACTTAAAAAAACCTTGAATAAATCATTAACAAACAACAATTGTTATGCTTTTTGCTTATCATAAACTAAACTGAAACTACAATGAAGAATTTCAAAAATGATAAACAGAAATTTAATAACATGAAACAGGTAATTGTAAATGAAAATTCTTTGGTAAAGATGTTTACAGACTTTTTTTGATTATGAATAGTTGAAATATTCTTTTTATACAAAATGAATGCATATAACACAATCCTTAAAAGTGTAATAAAAGTTAACCTGAGCAGGAAAATTAAGAACATTTCTACATAAATTATTCAAGGCAATTTAACAGAAGTATTTTAATTTTATTTTTTTTAAATCTGTATCACTCCAAGCAAGGTAGTACAGCCACTAAGATGCAATGGGTTTAGTTGCTACTAAACAAAGTTAAAAACAATATTTTGATTTTGGAACGGTTTCTGTGCATATATAATTATGCTCATATAATAAAAAAAAAAAAAAATAGCAGATTTCCCAAAAGTTATTAGAAAAAACTGTTCTATCAATAACGATCAGTAGAGACTGTGTAACAACCAGTTATCTACAAGATGTCTATAGATACATACAAAGGTGAACTCAAACGTTTTCAGTGCCTGACTATGAAGGAGTGATGCTAGAATTGTGAAATCTTACATGTATTAAGTTCAATTCTTCTTATTAATAACTGCATTGTTTCTTTCTGGGTAAACTGACATCTGACTGTTCAAAGATTTCAAAAGTAACTAGTAGTGAATTTGCTTGGCCAAAAATCTACAGAAGAAGGGTTTTAGCTGCCAAGGATATTCATGCTGACAGGGTTGCTACATTAGGTGATGATGCTTCAGCTTTATCAACAGTGCAAAAGTGGGCAGTTGAATTTAGGAGGGGAAATGAGTCTTGTAGAAAACCTGGATATACCTGCAACTGCCACCACCAAGGAAAACATTGATCATGTTCACCACATGGGGGATTGATGACAGGCAATTATCAAAGTATTAGCATATCCTATGAAAAAGACTTGAGAATATTCTGCACAATCAACTTGGCATGATGAAGGTTTCTGTTTGATGGGTGCCACAACTGACACCTGATCAAAAGCTTTGGTTTAGTTTTTGTTTTACGGCATATCAACCTCAATGGGTTATTTAATGCCAACAAAATTTTTATTGTTGGTAATATTTTTTTCAAAAATGTATTGCTGAGAATAATTTTTTTTTTTTTTTACAAAGTATTTTGGGTATTAAAACCTATTTTCACACTTTCATAGTGTTTTGGGGGTTAACTATATACCCAGAGGTGCTACCACCCTGGGTCAGGGTGGACCTAAGAACTTCAGCAATTAAGGTGGTTCCACGCTCCTCAAAACCTCCTGATCAGAGGTCTTGCTGTTGGATGTAGTTTATCGTCATACCCAGGACTATGAAAAGCATGGGAAAATCTTACATTGTTTGAGACAGATATACCTGGGTTCCTAACCCAGGGTGTGTGTTGGGTTCATCACTTTGAGACAAAGAGACAATCCATACAATGGAATACCTCTCCTTACCTGCTCCAGGTCGTTTGTGTTGGCCTAAATTTGGTTGGTGGGTATAAAAAGTATTGTGTTTATTTACTATTTTCAAAAGGACTGTGCTATCAGTGGATAGTACTGTACCAACTTGCTGAGGCAGTTATGAAAGACCAAATGTCCAGGAAAACCGCCGAAAAAGGTCTTGTTTCATCAGGACAATGTTCCAGCAAGTCCTTCATTTCAATGGCTGCTGTGCATGACTATGGGCATGATTCCCTTGGTTTGACTCGATGTTTACCAGCATAAAAAAAATACATGGCTGAGATCTAGTATCACAGTGATGATGTCTTATCTATTGTTGACTTTTTTTGACCAACAGGATAAACAGTCAGATGTCATTTTACCTGGAAAGAAACGATGCAGTTACTAATAAGAGTTGAAATTAGCGGATGCAAGATTACACAGTTCTAGCATCACCCCTTCATAGTCGGCCTATGAATTTTGCAGCCCACCCTCATATAATGAAGAATTCTAAAAATTGGGTTTCACTGACAGCTCACTTAAGTACAAATATTAAAATGTTTTACTCACCTGGCAACAGGAACCACGCCCAACCATAATTGCATGGATAGCTCCAACAACAACAAACACAAATGGTACTCCAGATACAATCCAGGAAATTGTCTCCCAAGTTTGTGAGTAGACATTACCATTATAATGCAATTCATCATGTCCATGGACAAACTTATAAACCCAAAGACCCTACAAAAAGAAAAGTAGACAAAAATAATGATGACATCAATGATAATTGGATACATTTTTTAAAGATATTGTGCAATTGTGAATACTTTTGCATTTGGATCGGGAATGTTTTAACATTGGTGATTCTATTTTCGTGGTGTTCTAGTATCTGGAAAAAATGGATTCTAATTATATAATATATACAGCTTCTTTGTTATTTACCTTTGGCCAGCAGAGCCTCCAAACAGAAAGACAGAGTATCTGCAATAAGCTATGTAAAGAAACTGAACATGCACAAATCTAGGATGATTGATTAGTTTTCTATGGCTTATCAACCCTTTGCAGCTTATTTAAAACAAGAATATATCTTTAGAATTTAAGAATGTTTTGTGGGTTTTTTTTGGTGTTTTTATAATAATGATTTAGTGATACACATCGGGCTAATTAACCCATAGTTAGGGGGAGGATAAGAGGTAGATTCCTACCTTTCCTAATGGTAGTTGCATGTAAGTAAATATAAGAAACCCAATGAAAATTGGAAGTCTGCTTTTTCGTTAATAATTCTGAGCTATTATCCATTACACAAATTGTACATCCAAGCTTACAGTAAATGGTATTCCCAAGGACAAATTTATGCTATGCAAGACATTGATGTCCTAGTGGTCATACATAAAAAAAAAAAAAAATGAACAACCCTTCTCCCCTTACATAAAATGCTTTTAGCCCCTTGAAGTAAGGAGTTCCTAGTTGATGTAAAAAATAATTTATATTTTTCCTGTGTTTTGCATAGTAGTTCTCTTATTTAATAAGAAAGGATTACAACCATTGGTGCTTAATGAGGATTATTGTCTGTATTTCTTTTTGGTGGTAGTGGTTGGGGGGGGCGCTCATACTAGCACTCCTAGAGATTAAGTATTTTTTTTTTATTCATTAAATACAACACATCTCTTACAGATATCCTCTTGTGGTTCCCTGACCAGAGGTTTTAGGGTACATCCAGATTTACAATACAACAAGTAGTACCAGAGAATGTTACATTGATACCCACAAAGCAATTTTATATATATATATATATAAAAACGGTTGTTTTTCATCTAAGATGAAATATATGAAGTATAAATATAAAACTGCATGCAGAGCATAAAAAAGTATGTGATATCAATTAAACATTAAAAAACAATACAGAATTTAAATAATTCTGTAAAATGATTTATTTTTCACATAATGCATCATTATAATTTGGATCAAATGATTTTTTAAAGCCATGCAAAGCAATAAAGCCACTAAAATGCAAGAAGGGTTACTGAGAATGAGGAAAAGAAAACATTAAAGAGAGAACAATAAAAGAACAGGAATTAAGACAAAAAATAATGATTGACATTGCATTTTTGACTAGAAAGCAAAAAGCCAGAGAAGACTTCCACAAGAAAGAAGTGAGAGAAGAAACTGTTAGCATAAAACTTAGTTACATTTAATCATTTCAGAACAATTACCATGAAAATATTTATAGAAAAGGCACAGGGAAGTTATGGTAGTGGGGAAAGTAAATCTCTGAAGCAGAGATGCTGAGTTGGGACCAATAACATTGCAGATTCTTCTTTGGATTTTATCAAGAATCTCTAAATACATATAAGCAAGAGATGTAACAGCAATATTCAATGCATGGACAAATGGTAGATTCAATTTGAGAGAATGAGAAAATCAGCACTCAATTGCTGAAACCTTCTGACAAGTGAACTGAATGATTGCAAAAAGTTCTACGAAACTCTTGAGTTAGGGTGCTGAATATAACATCAATCAGTGACAAATGTATTAATCCTCTCTCATTCACACACACACACACACACACACATATATGTGCTTGGTGGCTAAGACAGTCACATATGCATTATAGACCTATTTTTAATTGTAAAAGTACTTAATACAATATGGAATATACATTTTTAAGGAAAACTTTGTTTAAATACCACCTTTAGTGGTCTCCACCCAAGTCACTTTTGAAATATAATTATTTGCAAATATTAATTAACACCAAGCTTAATAATTATTGTTAACGTACAGTCTTTGTGGTTCACAAAGAAAAATTGAGAGAGAGATCAAGAATTCTTTCTTGCTTATTGGTTTTATTTTCTTAGAAAATTTAGTCATTCTCTGTAATTAGCAGTTAATAGACTTGAAGTTACCTGCCTTGAACAGACATTTTGCTCATGTCAATTTATAGTTAATTTTTGATTAACTATCAAAAGAATTATTCAGTGACTAGTGACCTGATTGAACCAGAAGTTGTCATATTCTCCATATTAGAACATTCTAGCAAAAACTGCACCATGATATGCCATTTTTGCTATCTTACAGTAATCCTCACACAAACAGAATTCAGATCAACAGAGATACCAACTTAATTATCCAGTTGTATGCATTCCTCTAAAAATATATGACAATTATAAACTCTGTATGTTGCAGCCATCTGAATGGATCACTTTAATGTTCCCTGAACAATACACATAAAATAGATGTTTATAATAATGTTCTCACATAGCTAAGTCTTTAACTTTTCATTAGTTTCAAGCTAAAATTCGGTAAAAGATAGAAAAGGTGAGTAATGTAAATAAAGATACACAGTATATTAATAAGCCTGAGTATTTATGATAGTTTTTACTTTAGACTCTAAGCATGTATTGATCTGTATATGTAATCATCTATTGTAATCCAGTACATTTAATCTTTACTAAATCAAAATAAATACATATTTGGGATGTTAGAAATTTATATTTATCAGTTTAAATACTGAGAAGAATCTTCTTTTGAAGACAAAAATTATGTCTATTTTAAGAAAAAGTATCTCTACTATTATTCTGCTTGTTTGGACATATAACCATTATACTTTTCTTCTTAGGATCAGTGTAGAACCACATTTCTGTTGCTTTTTAAGTTTCTTTTTCATCTGTGAGAAGATGACCCTGCATTTGCTGCTATAGAAGAGAACTGATATTGCACAACAGTTCAGTACTCTTCTTTCTTTCTTTCTAACAAAATTATGACTTGATACCATAAGGTTTTGTTATAAATTTGCATTTATCTAGCTAACCTCACTGCTCTCCCATATGAGGAGATAGAAACTTGAATTTAATAAAATAGAATAAAAACTCTAGTATTAAAAAAAATAAGTGAATATAGTGTCAAATCTTTTGACTCATCTGAATAGTGGGTATATTTTTTTTCTCTCTTGCTATTAACTTGAAAGAGTCAGCAACCATATTTCTATCAGTGAGCTACTAAACATTACCAATCTTATGACAATCATATAAGTTATGCCTAAAAGGAAAGTTAGCTGTTAAAAGAAGCAAAGGTTGATGGCCAATAATGTCCACTTATGGACTTGACCATTACTCTTTGAACTTGGCTGTTGATGATTCAACTTTGTGCATCAACAGGAGATTTTCCTCTCCACAGTCTGTAACAAAGTGACTGATGAAGATGTTACTTAGAATTTTCTTTAAAAAAAATTGTTTAAAATTTTATTTTTCTTTAGAAGTGCTTTGGTACCATAATGTTTTCTTCTAAATTTGCAATTGTCTAGCATGTGGACATTTTGTTCTTGAGGCATGGTGTCAACAAGACTTCTCAAAGAAGCCTCACAGTAAAGGATGGCAAAATTCTGGAGATCTACAATCTTGGTATCAATTCCAGTGTTTACTAAGCACCCTTTCAAACTTTTAGGTGGCATTCCAAAGTGCACTAATTACTACAGGAATGACTTCAACAGGCATGAACCATAGATTTTCCAATTTCCTAACCTGATTCTGGTATTTTACAATCTTTTCAGTTTCTTTAGAGTTCACTCTTGTATTATATCAGGTCATCCCATAAGTTCTGCCCGAATTTTGAATAAAGAAAACAAGTGACCAAATGTTACATTTAATTACAGATTCAATCAACAATGTATTTTCCCTGATTATCTATGACTTCCTTCCATCTATTAACAAGCTTACTAATTCCATTACTGTAAAATCCTTTTGGCTTTGATTCGAAGAACTCACAAATGTCAGTTTTAACCTCTTTCTGTGTTACAAAAGCTGTTTCTTCCAAATGATTCTGTAAGCTACGAAACAAATGGTAGTCTGAAGGAGCAAGATCGGGAGAATAAGGTGGATGAGGAATTTTCTCCCAACCAAGTTCTTTGATCTTTTGTGACGTGATTCTTGCTGTGTGGGGTCGCGCATTGTCCTGATCAAACATCACCTCTTTTCGATTCACTAGAGCAGATCTTTTTTTCCTCAAAGCTTGGTTCAAACGCTCTAATTGCTGACAGTATATTTGAGCATTAATTGTTGCATTAGGTGGTAAGAATTCAAAGTGGATTATTCCTTGGCGGTCCCACCAGATTGAAAGAAGAACCTTTTGCCCATGAAGTTCCCTTCTTGGCTGTGGCTGGGGTCCTTCCCCTTTACCAACCCACTGTCTATGACGCTTAACATTTTGATAAGATCCATTTTTTTTTGCCGCCAAAAAAAGGTGAAACAAGTTGGCAAGAATGGAGAGAAGAGCCGATGTCAACTCGGGATTTGAGGTTGTTTTCAGACAATTCATGAGGCACCCATTTTCCAAATTTAGGAACTTTTCTAAGTTGTTGAAGATGACTATGAAGAGTTGTATGGTTTGAACTGAGAACCACTGCCAATTCCTCAACTGATAAAGCAGGATTTTCTTCAAAGGCTGCTTCAAGAAGCTTTTCATCAAACTCAACTGGACATCCTGTTCGATCTTCATCTCCACCTCTGAATTTTGCAAACCATCTTCTGCAAGTTCTTTCATTCACACATTCCTCTCCATAAACTGAGTGGATGTTTCTAGCTGCTTTGGCTGCTGAGTTTCCTTTCTTGAACTCATAAAGCATTATGTTCCTCAAATGATTCTTGGGTACTTCCATGTTAGCAGGGTTTTAATCAAACAAAATTTAATCTTTATTGTTCTCTGAAATAGAATTTGATCACTTTAAATGCATCTAAACATAAAAATAATGTTCAGCTCCATTAGACATTATAAAATACTCTTTAAATTTTGTTCATTTTAACGAAAAGTTAAAATTCGGACAGAACTTATGGGATGACCTGATATTATTGTATCATACTTCCTAATGGAATAACAACAACAAACACCCAAGTTTTCCAGACAAAACAAAAAATCTACTGCATGACAGTTGACATAGCTAATCGAGAAATGGAGAGGGTTGGGAATCAGGCCAACACAATAAAAATCTACAATTGTCACCGAACAATAAAACATTACCCAATATGCTTTATCACCTAAGAGGACATCATCATAATACTATTCAGATAAATGCACTTATTGAGAATGACATGAAAATAGTGATAGTGACAACAAAAGCTGAAATAATAACTGACTTTTCAATTAGTGGTAAGAGATAAGGACATAAATTTGTTAGACACTTACAAATAGGAAAATAAAGTTTTTTTTTTTTTAAACACTAAAAATTAACAAACAATTTTTAGTCTCAGAGGAACAATAGGAGTGAATCAGTTAAAATTTTTGTAGTAAAGTGTTATATAACATTTTGTAATCGATGTTCAATTATCAATATGCCTTTCAAAAAGGAAATTTCTCACAAGTGAATGCAATACCAGAACTTGAACCTAGATTGCTGTGATCACTTTCTGTACTGATATTCATCCATTATGCTACCTTTTATAGAGAGTCTGAGAAGCTACAATAAAAAGCAGCTGAAATTACCATGAAATAGAACTGAAATATTAATAAGAAAATATACTTAATGAAAACCACTTAGACAAAACGGATGAATTGTTTCCATAAGCAATCAAGCTTTCTAATTAGATTTTGGTGAAAGTGTATCCAGTTTTATGAGTGAAACTAAAAACCTGAGCTCAAAAGAAAATAAAGAATAATAAAAATGTATTTAGAAATAAAATCAGAAACTTACAGCAGTTGCTAAACAGGCCAGAGCAAACCAGACACCCATCATGATGCGTTCAGCTAAGGAAAAATTCTGCTTTGCTGAAAAGGGCAAAAACAAAAAAGCAATTTCTCAGTTTACAGAATATAATCATTTCTCTGAATGCAGAATCTCCAATATTTATTTGCATTTTACTGCAAACAATTTTTTAATTCAACAATAATGCTTACATAGAAGAATTGACAATGTAAAAATAAAGGAATTAAATCAAATACTGTACTTTTCTGAAAAACCCTTTCCAATAATCAACCTGTATTTGATATCCCAATACTTGGCTTAAGATTATACTGAAACAGCCTTAGCACATTAGTCCTCTGATGATCCCAGAATTAAATATATGTGATTATTAATGTGTAAATTATGATTACTACTCCAAATGTTAGAAAAAAATAAAAGTATGGATAAATCATTAGTTGTATATGGCTAAATTTTTCCTAAATATTCCTTATCAAATTCTAAGTTTATCTGACAGGAAATATGGTAATAAAAACATTTCTTGAAATATTAGATCAAATAAGAATTTCTATTTTTTTTGTTTATAAAATTTATTCTTAAAAAAAGAAAAGTAGAATTGCATTTTACTTAACTATGTATTCACTATCATTTGCCCTGACTTATTGTGCTTCGATACATTTTGAGTGAAATTCCACAAGTTTTGATGTGAAAATTTTTTCAACAAATTCTAATCTGGTTTTCATTAAAGAAATTTTTTGTTGTAAAAGCATTCTGCAATGATTTAAAAAAAAAAAAAAAAAAAATGTAATAATTGATTGGTGTAAGGTCAGGTGAATATGGTGAGTAAAACAGACCCACAGAAGCTCAGTTTTTTTTTTTTTTTTTTTTTTTTTTTTTTTGGTGTTATTCTTCCTGTATGTTGTTTTGTGTTATCATGGGAAGAACATTTTCTCTTTAATCCACTGCAGTACAAAAACCGAGGTATGTTACTGTACTGAAAATTTCTTAACTGCTAAATATGATTAGTAATCAGGATGACACATTTGTCATTACAAAATGGAAATGACTTAACTAGATAGTTTGTCATTTCTACTGCAAAAGGCATTTTTATTTTTTAATACAATATTCATTTCAGTGTATAACAATAGAAGGGTTTTAACTGATGAGGGAATACAATGTACATGAGTTTCTATACTTAGGTGAAAAAAAAAATAAATGAACATCACATGTATATATATATATATATATATAAAAAAATAATAATGAAATAACCTGTGTTAGATAAGTAACTAAGGGAATAACTTATATAACAGGCTATTTTTTTTTTTTTTTTTTGCTCAATATGAACTTGGGATGTAAGTTTTCTAGATTGGGCTACAAATAGCCAACTGGACTACATTTGAAAGCCCAGTGTTACTAAATTTTGATTTCTTTTTTCTCACAAATAGCTCAATGTTTAAAAAAAAAAAAAAAAAACTAAAAAAAGTCACAATTAGTAAAATTCAAAATTTACCAGCAGAGCTTTCAACTGAGTAAATTTGACAACCCTGGCCTTGATATCAGAAATTGAAATGGAAGTGTTGAAAAAGTGGGTGATCTGTTTATTATTGATTGTAAAACAGTCATGACTCGCGTAAAACACAATTGTTAGTTAAATATTTATGATCTACAAACAGTTCATAGAATTGAGCTAAAATACTACATGGAAAAACATTTAAAATCTAATTGCTACTAAATTCTGAATTGACTTCTCATGAGCAGTCCAAGTTAGCCCAACTTATTTTAAAAAAAATAACCCCAAAAGTCACAAGTAGTGAAATTCAAAATTTAGTAGGATTTTCAAAAAATAGTTCAATCTGGTAACCTTTCATATCTTTTGAACAGGAGTAGATGTTTATCCCTTGTTTCCTGTTTAGAATTGAGTTCCTGGTTCATTCTAAACTCTCCTCATTTTTTCCCATTCCACTAATCTCTTGTGTCTTAGTGGCATTATTACCTTGCTTGAGGTGAAATGATAAATAAAACAAGAAAACCTTGCAGTCATAGGCTGGAAAAATTGACAGAGCGCACCTCCTATAGGGTTAAATTATTTTGGGACTTGAATGGAAAGTTAGCAGTTTGACTTGCAGGATTCATTTAAGTTCAGTGCAATGTCATGAGCATGTGTGATAAAAATGAAGGAAAATAGTTTCTGACACTTCTGTGTTCAGAAATTGTATAGAAAATGTGTTTGAAGAGAATCTATACAAACTAATGTACAAGCATTGTTTGTTGCGTGTGTAAGACAAGATTAAGTTAGGGATTAGGAAAAGATAAAAAAAAAAAAATCTAACTAAAAGCAGACACACAGTTTGATAGAAATCATATTTGTGAAATATGATCTATTTGATGAGGTCAGCTGATGGTCATAAGGGCGTCGAAAAAAGAGGATATCAAGGTGCCTTTTCATTGGCCCATGAATTGGCAAATCAGCAAGAAGGCAAGATTTCCTGTTTAAAAGAATAATAAAAAAAAAAAATTCTCCTTCCAAGTAGTCAGCACAATTTGGACAATAAAGGTAACCAATACAAATAATATGCATTGCACTATTTAGCACCATGAAAAAGAAACTTTTCTCCTCATGAAAAGACAGCTAATTTGATTTTCAGTCAGACAGTGCAAATTTGGTGACTTGGCCTGAAGGCAGACAGTGTCATGACTAACTTGGCTCTGTATGGAACAACTGTGGTTGTCAAACCCCGTTTCAAGTCACATACTTAAACATGTATAATGTTGTGACTGTCACATTGATTTATTTCTCATGATGATTTTCTTTCTTTCCTAAACATTAGCTTAATATAAAAAAAGATGAATAAAATGTATGTAAGAAATAATTTCTAGAACCAGTTGTTTAAGATGCAGAGAATGCATTTTAAACAGCCAAAGAAAAAAAGTCTTATAAATAAAATTTAAGTGAATGACCAAATTTTATCTGAATCTTTTTTCATAATCAATATGGCTTAGAAGAACAGAGAAATGATTACAGAGAAACACTGTAGTTTAGACATTTCTGGAAGATTCTCAGGGTAATGAATGCAGTATGTAGAATCTACTTTTTGTGGGGTTTCCATAGATACACACACACACACCATTTTATTTTTATCAAGAACTACGAGAACTTTTTCTTAAAGTTTCTCTTATTTATTTTAATCTTATCCATTTTCTTTCGGGCAAGATGAAGTGAAACAGATAACAAAAATATAGCACCTATTTTCCCAGAAAAATAATTGGGTTTCTACACTTAGATAGACAATAAAGGAGTGTTCCATACTAGTCCTCAGTCCAAAGTTTTGTTTACTTTTGGGTGGGTAGATGAAACACTTTCCCCATTATCAGTAATACCCAAACAAAGTACAGTCACCCTCCAACCAGGCTCATATACAATATCACCCATTATTACAAAAATATCAGTAGCACAAGGCAGCATATGAACTAATAGAAAAAAAAAAAAGGATCTACTCAGTGGGCTAAATTTAAATCCAGCAGATATTAGTGACTTCAGCGCATGAAACAAACACTTACCATAAAAATGAGATAATCTTTTTTTTTTTTTTTACCTCTTCCCCATATTTCAACACTTTTTTTTTTTCTCACATTCCAGCCTGAGGATGCCAACTATAAGGAGTGAAACATAGCTGAGTAACTTTTTTTTTTTTATCTTGACACACTTGTGTGTGTGTGTGTGTATATATATATATATATATATATATATATATATATATATATATATATATATATATATTTCTCTTAGTGTATCTGTTAAAGAGACAGTGAATAAAAAAACAAGAGGAAAAATATTCTTAGCTGCTGCATTTTTGTTCTCCGAGGGACTTTATCAAGATAATAATAAAGTCCCTCAGAGGACAAAATGCATTGGCTAAGAATATTTTTCCTCTTGTCACTCACTCTCACATATACAATTTCATTAAATCTGTACATATTCTGGCAAGATATTTTATGTTCCATAGAACAAATGCAATGGTGAAAGAGTACAGAGAATAAAATATATTGGGGGCGGGGGAAGTAATATGAAAATTTACTGAATCAAAATATTTTGTTCTGTTGAAAATAAGAGCTGAAACAGATAAGTAGACATACCATAGACCACAATAAGTCCTATGAAGGTCAAGACTACCACCAAGAACACCAGCCTCTCCAATGAAACAATCATCAGGACATTGAAGTATGGTCCAGCCTAAAACAACAAATATAAAATTCATTGAGAATCTATAAAAGGAAATATATATGCTGCATATTAATAACAATATTAATAAAAATGATTTGACAAATAAGATTTTAATATTTCCATCAATACAGTTAAATAATAATTTCTGTCTAAAACTGCATAACTACACCATGACAATGTTATGAAAATCAATGATAAACATATATATACCAAAAAAAATAAAATAATAAATAATTTAAAAGTGATTTCTCTTTGTGTACATCTATCGTTATATCAATATAAACACTTTAGTCCAATGAAGTCCTACAGGACTAAACATGTCACATCAAAAATAATTTTTCCACTTTGTCATTCATTTTCCTAATATAAAAGTTCTTATCCTAACCAAGTTCCCAAAATAACCAAACATCATAATTTTTTTTAAATCTCCTTCTTGGTTAGGTTAAGAATTTTTCACCACTTCCTTGGATGTTTAGGTCTATTGATAAACATACAGGGGAAACTATTTTGAAAAATAAATGTTACATGAAATAAATGCTTTTTTTTTTTTTTTATTTATTTCATGTAACAAATATTTATTTTTCAAAATAGTTTCCTTTTTTTGTCAATGCACTTAATTCAGTGCTTCTCAATTACATAGATCAAACATTATACAGTGAAAATTTTAGGTCCAAATATCAGGCTACAGGTAGATCCACTTTTGTAATTTCAGTTTACTACAGGACCATAAATTTTTTCTCCCTTAATGCTAAAACAGTTCTTAATTAACATAAATAATTAAGATTAAAGCCGACTTTATCTTTTTTGTTTTGGTTTTCTTAATTGGTACCACCCCAAGCAAGGCAGTAAATCCACTAAGATGCAAGGAGTAAAAGGGTGTGGAGAAATTAGGAATAAAAACAGATTAGTAATGACTAGAAAGAGTAATCAGGAGGGCAGTAGATAGCAATTGACATTGAATTTACATTTTTGCAGATTAGCTGGAAGCAGGTGCCAGAAGGGAGTTCCACAAATGAGAAGAGTGAGAAAACAAACTGTCAGCATAGAAGTTATGGCTACATTTAGCCAGCTCAATTGTAAATTCTTAAGATCTCACCACCAGTCTAATATTGCTCTTAAATTCATAGTCTTTGTACGATAATGAAGAGCTTGACTAACCAATTACCATGAGGTTGTTTTGGACACTAGCTGCCATTTTGACCTTGTCTGACTGATCAGCCTTACTAATGAGGCAGGAGTAAATGGAAGTGTCATCAACATAGATACAGATTTGAGAGCTGATGTCATCGGAAAGGTTGTTAATGAAAATTAAAAACAGTGTTGGACCAAATTTGAAGCCCTGGAGGACACTTGTGTTAATATGAAAGGTTGTACACAAATTGCCATTCAGGACAACTTTCAATATCTGTCTATATTTCTAAGATAATGTAATTATTTAAATTGGTTGGACTGTTGTCCTCATCTTTATTGCCATATTCACAACATTTTGGCCATTGTATGCTCTGGCCTTCTTCAGGTGACTGGAATTTTGAAATGAACCCTTTTACTATTTTTTATATATATATATATATATATATATATATATAATTATACACACACACACACAAACATATACATATATAAAAAGAAAGAAAATGATGGACAATAAATTCTTTTGTTGAAAATTAAAGAAATGATTAGAAATGATATAAAATATATATATATATATATATATATATATATATATATATATATATATACACACACACACACACAACTAAACAAATATAAGAGAAAGATGTGAAAATAATTAAAAATTTACAAAATTGATCATCTTAAATTTAGTATCTTATTTATCTTCATATTTGTAGAAGCCACATATACCGATATATATTTTTCATTAAAAATGACAGACAAGGTACTACGGTTAAACTTTCTATTTAATTTTTCTTGTGTTTAAGCAAGAGCTTTCTTTTTTAGACACAGTGTATCGAAACTGTCCAAATGCTTTATAGTTTTGAGCGCTTTCGGCTATACTTTTAGCCATTATCAAGGATGATTTTTTTTTTTTTTTTCTGTTTAATTGAGTGTGTGGGTTACGTGTATGTTTTTAGTGTGTTATAGAGATGTTTTATTTTCCAAACACAATTAGCATATTGTGGCCTAGTTTGTAGTTAATATCGTTAAGAGTTGGCTTTTTCTTTTTTATTATTAGGGCTTCCATTATTTTTAATCTTTTTTTTTTTTTTTTACAGATGGATGAGGTTATGTTTGTGTTTTCTACTAGTATGTTTTGAATGGAGCTCTGGTAGGTTTGTGTATGTGTTTAAATGGGTTCTAATGGAGCTCTGGTCAGATAAGTGGAACTTAAGGCATTCGGATAGGCATGTAGTTGTGTGACTGATGTAATTATTTATGAGTTCGGTTTGATCAAGAACATAGTTCCTTTAGGGGCATTTGAACTCATAGATAATGTTTGTTCATTTTAATTTTGACTTAGCTGGTGTATTGATATTTTTGAGGATAATGTTAGCTGTCTTAAATTTTTTATAGTAGATAATTAATTTTATTTTATTTACTTTTTTTTTTATTTATTTATTTGGGTCAATTGGGGTAGTGCATTTCTTTATAAGATTTCTAAGGGAAGATAGATATATTAGCTACAAAGGAAGCATCTGGTTAGCAAGTTTAAATTACTGTTTTTAAACTACAAAACTCCCATGATTTTTTCCCTACCAATTTGTAGTTGAAAAAACAGTAATTTAACCTTGCTAACCACACACTCCCTCTGTAGCTACGTGGTATAGCACATCAGGCTATATGATGGTTCCATGTAGGATACAGGTTGATTCTTGTTGGAGGACACATTTTCTCCAAGATTTAGGCCGGGAAATGTTAAGGCTGTTTATTATAAACAGAGCATTTACTTAAATATTTGTATCTATAAAAAGAATGTATAAACAAATTATATATATATATATATATATGAGGCGACAGTTCCACCCAAATGGCAATATTCAGGTAATATTGGATGGATAGTAGCTTGACATGATATTTGAACTACTATCCAATCCACATGGCCTGAAGATTATATGAAACAGACTATTGCTATTCAGCACTTTTATCTATAAAACTAGATTTTATCATATATACAAGTTTGTTTTACCACCAAGTAAAATTTTTGGGTTTTTTTTTTTTTAAGCAATAACAAATAAGATCAAGTGAAGTTTTGTAATGATAATAGTGGATTTATAAGAAATTCAAAAATCATAGAATAAGTAATTTTCGTCTGGGGGAACCTAATTTTAAATGTTCTTTTCTTCTTCTTTAATTCCTCAATAAGAAATCTTAAATTGTTAATTTTTCTAATTTTTATTTTCTTTTTCAACAATCAATGAATAAATACTTACATTTGTGGTGTGTGGTACTCCCAAAGCATTGATGACACCAACAACAAGAAAAGTGACAACAACATTGATAAAAGTCTTATTGATGGAGTTTCTCTCCAAACATGGAATGAGAGACTCCATGATGTTATCCACAAGTGTTAGAATGGCAACACACTAGAAAAAGAAAAGTAAATTGACAACAGTATAAGACAGCATCAATTCATTACAATAGAAATTTAAAAAGTGTTTTTTTTTTGTTTTGTTTTTTTAGTAAATATTAAGAAAAAAAATTCAAAAAAGAACTTGCTGTTTTAGATTCAGAATTGTCTCACAGGACAAAAACCTAGTTGAATAAAGCATTGGTTCATGAACTTGATGGTATAATTGCAGAAGTAACATGTATCATAGTTGGAAAAGTTTAAATTAGTTGAACTAAAGAATGGAATAAATCTTTCAATAGAAAGCCATGGAAATAGTGATAGTCATTGTAGGCTTACAATATTGACTATGAGGAAAAATTAGGGCAGGTTGATTTTTTTTTTCACTTTCTATTTTTTTTTTTTTTTTTTTTTATAGAAAATCAACATTGCATCTGGTAGGAAAGCTGGAGTTTCATAGCTTTCACCAATTTTTAAGCATTTAGTTTTAAAGATCATCTGAAAAAGGTTACAGAAAAACCTTATTTCTGCAGGTGTTTTGCTTATAAACCGACTTGAAATTTTTACTATTTCAAGAATAAATCCAAATAAAGTTGATATTTTTTGTATTAGATACATTGAATGAAAAATATATTTAAACTAAAATTCTAATTATGAATCATCATAAACAAAATATGCAATTTTCTTTTTACTGTGTTTGGTAAGTAAAAACTGTACAAAAAAAAATGTAAAAGATTACAAAAACAGCTACTAAATGAATAAGATTTGTTAGATCATAATTAATAAAAAGAAAAAATAGATAAGTGTATATAACACCATAATACTGCTGGGCACAAATTATAAGACAAAATGTTTTAAATTTGCATTGTTTATTGAAAAATCACACCAAAGTTATTGCACTTTATAATATCTTATAATATAGCTAAATTTGTCAGTGTAATTTCCCTTTGAAGTAAATGAAAGTCTTATTTGATGGCACAATGATTTAGTAATAATCTGCTTGTGACATGCATCTTGTCTATATACAATTTGTAAAGCTTCAGTAAATTATAAATTTTATAAGGCTGTGATATAAGGCTTTCACTGATCACCAGAATAAAATTCCAACACTGCAATTTCGAATCTAAACTTAATCTTTAAACTCGATTGGAAAAAGAATATTTTCTGTCTTTATTTATCATGTCAAACTCCAATTTTTAAATTGAGTGTCATACCACAGTTCCAAAATCAACCAGCCCTATTGTAGAATTGAAAATAAATCTTTCCCCATAAGATGCTTTTGAACTCTATCAAGATTGGAAAATGAGAATTGATCATATATGACAATATTTCATTTTTAGTCTAATTTTTTTGTAAGCATGGCAGATATGAGTTTCTTTAACAATGAATTGTACAGATATACTTGAGATCTGGAGTGAACTTGAGACCCAATAGCATCAAACCACATTGAGTGGAACCATTCATCATAACTCTGGGTCTGAACAATGATACTTGTTTGGTGTTTTGAGCTTTTGAAACTAACCTTATTTACATTGTTCAGACTGTTGTCCTCATCTTTATTGCTATATTCATGCTCCAGCCTTAGATTGGAATTTCAAACTGAACCTTTTATTTTGTACATCAGGGTAGATTGTTCTAGTTCCATGTGCCATGCCTCTTCCAGATGTCTCTGTTATCTCCTTTCAACTCAACTCTCCAAGTTTTTGTTCACCACTGCAGGAATTGAACTCACAACTCTTTGGGTCAAGTCACCAAATCCATCCAATGCTTTTCTCCACTGAGTTATGTGTCCCTGAGGACACCAGTGTATGAATTTTGGGGACTTATAAACTTAACGTCTCAGCAACTATTTTTTACCAGAACTCATATTGCCATTTTGTTATTATTGCTTATCCCGAGTATTCCATATTACTGGCTCCTATATTGTATTCAGTTCTATGATTAGCTGGCTTGGGAGATTTTTATAGCCTAGCATATGTGCTAATTCCTTAAGTTTAGAAACATAAATGCTAGGGACTGATTTTCAGTGTCTTGAAAATGTATGTATGTATATATATATATATATATATATATATATATATATATATATATATATATATATATATATATATATATAAGGTCAGCCAATCTAACAGTGATCTCATCTCATAATTCTCACACCTGCTCCATATGTGGCCGCCTTTGTAAATCACTAGCGGGTCTTAAATGCCACTTAAGATTAGCGCATAAACTTTCATAACTGAATCAATAAGCTAGCAGATCCTCATATGTTGAAACTGACAGGAGAGTCCATTTTATTTATATATGTATATATATATGTGTGTGTGTGTTCGGTTGAATAATATAGACATATGTCTATTTTTATTTTAATCATCTCAAATTCATGGGTCAATTTCTTAGTGCTGTTACAAAACTGAGGAAGAAAGATACCATAGTTTTGGTTATTTCTTTTATTTTTCTAAGTACTTTCAATCTCATCCAAGATCACTTTTAGGGGGTGAATTGCTAAGACAAAAATTAATATAATAGATAGTTGTGAATTTTCTTTTGTAAATGCACTCCATTATAGTCAATAAAGGACACTCATAAATATTCATCAGGTTAACTGAAATGTTTAGGTATTAGACATTAAAATATTTTTTTAAAAAGAATATTGTTTGGATTGTGATTAGATTGTTATAGTATGAAATGCATGTTTGTGTTATGTATCTTCAAAGGCTGAAATGACGGATTTAACTGTTCCCTTTTGAATTTTCAATATATTTGTTGGCTTGGGAAAGTAGTAATTCTTTCAGGAAAGCTAAGATTGGGGGGGGGAAAAAAAAACTTTAAAATTTTGAGTAAATAACGTCTTGCTTTTGTTTAAAGATACTGGTTGTAAAATAAAATCATTACATTTGCCTTGATAAAGTTAAGGCAAATGACAAAATGAATTGAAGTATAGTTTTTTCCTCTTGTCTTTTATTCATTTTGTCTTTTCTACAAATACTCCATCTGAGAATATATCTAATTAATACAAATATAAAATTTGTCATTTACCTGATTTTATATTATTTTCAGCATCTTGACTCTAGAGTTTTGTAGACAGATCTAAGCAAAGATCTGTCCACTCCTCAGGAGATACCAGTAATTGTCTTTTCATTTTCATTTTTTGTCACTTTCATATTGTGTTAAAAAAATGATTTATGCACATTTCCTTGGTGCAATGTTTTTTTTTTTCCTCTTTCTCTTTCTTCTTCCATTGTGTGTCTGTAGGCATATGTATGTGCATATGGTTAAAAGGTCATGATTATTTCTACTTTTGGTCATTTTTCTTGTCTCTTTATACACCCTCTTTATTGGTTTTATTTTTTTTTTTTTTCTCTCAACTTTGCTACATTTCTCTCTGACACTCAATCTGCCATCTGATTTGACAGACAGCCTCTACTATTAGTAATTCTTGAGTGTTTCTAGGGTTTTCTTCAGTTTGGAAAAGTACCTTTTTTTTTTTTTCTTTTTTACACTTGGATGTACCCCCACACCACTACCTCATTAACAACAGGCACTATACATCTTCTACAGCTGTGGAAGTATTTATAAAGAGAAAGATTATAAACTCAAATTCATGATATATACATACACATGTATGTTTTTTAATCATTTCACCCCAAGCAAGGCATGAATACCACTAGTATGCAGGGGGTTACAGGGAGTGAAAGAGAAGACTAAGGAAAAGGACAAAAGATGAACAGGATTCAAGAAGACAGAAGATACTAAAAATTTTACCAATGTCAGTTGGTTAATACTATTTTTATTGTAAGGACATTGAGTCACATAATAAAATCTGTCATATTGTATGTCAGATAAGTTTCATTATTTTCATGGAGTTTTTATCTTTAATGCAACAACTAAAATAACTGTTACAATTTATGCTTAGTCACAATGGAAAATATTTTATTTTAATACTATTTAAAATAAATGATTAAAAATATAGTATTATCTTAAATATTACCAATCCAGCCTACTTTCAAAAATAAAAGGTGACTGCTGGTTTAAAATCACAAAAATGATATTCTAGAAAAATGATTAAAAAGTCCTTTCACCAATTGGATTAAAAATCTTGTATTAATCATGTTTAGAATTTCTACAAAATGATAAAGTATCGTAAAAATTGCAACTTACCAAAAATAGAACATGATATAGAAATATAGATAGGTAAAATAATAAGGCATAAACCGGGGGTATGCGTAAATAGCTGAAGGCAGTTGCCATTGTATCAAAGATGAGAGCATAACCTGAAAATAAAAAGACATGATTTAGTATTTTCATTTACTTCTGAGGAATTACTATATGAAAAAAAGTATTGAAAAATTAGAAATTTTCTAATTAAAAATTGTAATATCACTTAAAAGGATCAAGCAAGTCTATCACAGTTTATGTTGCCTCTTAAATAAATGGGCTTAGACATCAAATAAGTAGGTGAGTCTTTCAATTTAAAAGGTGAATACTTTTTCTGAAGAGGAGTAATTAGAATGTATTCATAAGTATGTATATATCGTTATGGAATCAGTTGAGGTTTCTGTGGTAATAAAATATTCTAATGCATAATCAATAAATATTCATTTTTCATAACCAGCATTGTTTGTTGTCATGGAATTTTAATAAAGAGGTGGGGAGGGGGTCTCTTAATTTTCCAAATTTTAATAAGTATATCCTCCCTGATTTATTTGAGAAGCAAGAATAGTAGCAAGTTACTAACAGGTCTTACAAAATCAAACTCGCATGTTTAATACTATTGTGGTCATTATTATTAAGTATTTCTAATAAATTGTACTTTTATCTGTTTGATTAAAGCAAACAAAAAAAAACACAGTATACATCGAGCTCTCCAGCTATGATTGATAATCGTTTTGGGTAGACATCTCTGAATTGAAAGCTGAAGGGCTTGGCATGCAATTGATTATTGGTTGAATTGTTTTTTATGGCTTATTAATGCTTTGCAGGTTATTTAAAGCCAGAAATATATTTTTAGATTTCAAGAATTTTTAGGAAATAATGATTTACTAATTAACTCATAGCTGGAAGGAGAAGAGGCTGATTTATACCCAAGAATATCTGTGTGTAAGCGAATACAATGAACCTGATTGAAATTTGAACTTGGTTCTTTGAATTCCAATTCCGAGATATTATTCATTACACCATTCACACATCCATACTTACAGTAGCTAGTACTACTCCAACTGATCAGCCATCTAGGTACTGACCAGGCTTAATATTGCTGACTGGACATGGGGGCAGGAGGTTCATCAATGCTGTTTTTGTAAAAGTCTACTTGCTACTGAAATCATAGCAGCAACAGTGTGACTACAGTGTTTTGCCTCACAAGAAGTCTACAAGAATAAATAAACTTTATTTTGCATCATGTCCTACAGGGACATGATGCAAAAATAAATTCCATCTTAGGCATTACAACTCTGTTTTAAATGATCAGAAATTCTTATTCTTCTTTCTATATTTGCTGTTTAAAAGTACCCCACACCAAATTTTATAGGTAAGTCATTAGTATGAAGGTTCTCTGCCAGGCAGCACCTTCCCTTTGCTCTTTAAGAGTTCAGCTCAGTATCAGGCAGCACCTTCCCTTTGCTCTTTAAGAGTTCAGCTCAGTATCAGGCAGCACCTTCCCTTTGCTCTTTAAGAGTTCAGCTCAGTATCAGGCAGCACCTTCCCTTTTAGAGTTCAGCTTATCAGGCAGCACCTTCCCTTTGCTCTTTAAGAGTTCAGCTCAGTATCAATACCTGAAGTATTCCAGAGGAAAAATGGATAATTTCTTCAACTACCTGTCTTAGCTGAACACTGTATGATATTTCCCTTTTATTGGAGGAGAATAAATAACTGATCGTTATAAAAGATCATTTATTACAATAAAATGTGCAACATCAGTAAAATTCATGTATTGACTACATAAGATTATAAAAAAAAAAAAGTAAAATGATTGTCATACAGGCATCCCTCCATTTTTATATGCCAAAATTTGATTAGTGCATACATGATACTAGATTAGTACGCTAAAACATTCTTAAGTTTAACCATAGTAATTGAATATTGATTTTTTTTTATGGTTACTGATGTACACATTAGCTGCACTAATCGAGGATTTCTTGTATTTCTTTAATATCTCCTTGTAAGCTACCTCAGTAGTTGTATGGTCCAATACAGTTCAATATTTTGACTACCAAGCACTCCTCCAACTTCAGTAAATCTTTTTCTGGATTGTCTGAAGCATAGACTGAACATAAAGAGCTGACAGGTCATCATCATCACAATAATAAAAAAAAAGAACAATTCAGCTTCAGGGAATAGCCAAATGTCAAATACACATGATTATAAAAGCAGATGCAAATGTCACTGTTATGACAATATATTTAAATGATAATGAACTAAGATCAATAATAGTGTGTTACTACAATGACCTCCAATAAAGGCAGGTCATAGGTGGTGGACCCCAAAGGTGTTAGAATGCCTTGGTGGGGATTATAAAAGATTCTATTTTAGAAATTGTCCCAGTAACAATAAAACTGCCTAAAGGATTTCCAAAATGCTTTAGTGAGTATAAATGAAAAATCAGCATAACTGAAAGTTCTTTCATTAACCAGACTTCTCTTCACCTAAAAAGGACTTTGCTTGTTAAAGATGGACATTCACTTATAGATCAAATGTCTCTACATGAAATATTGAAATTAATTATTTGATTTTCTTATCTGCAATTAGGTAATTGATTGGTTTGTTCAGTATTAATGTTTAACATTTTTACTCCTTTATATAACATTTGACAATGTGAACATTTTATACTTTCACAGTGTTTTGTTTTTGTTTGGGGGTTCACTATTTGCCCATAGTTGGGACCCTAACAGGTACTACCACCTTGAGTCAGTGTGGACCTGGGAACAGCAGCAATTAAGAGGTGATTCCACACTCCTCAAAACCTCCAATCTCCCAATCAGAGGCCTTGCTGCCAGATGTTATTATCAGATTAACAAAAGGAGGGACAAGCACAATTATAATAAGATAATCCTAAAGTAGCTAGGATTCATATTTAAATAAATATTTTAAATTTAAATAATATTTCTAATATTTTCTCATTAGTGAAAAAAAATAAAAACACCAAAAAGAAACCATAAAAACCTAAGGAAATTAATAGGTTAACATAAAGGAGAAACATATATATATATATATATATATAGAAAATTAACTTTTCCACATAAAAATTACTGAGAAAAAAATTTTCTCCTTTTGATAGAAACATTAATAACAGATTTGGAAAGAATATGAGAATCAATTGACAAAAATAACTTTAATTACTGCATAATGAATGTTTATTCAAATGATGCCACTGAAGACTGAAATAAAATTTCCCAATAACTAATAGTTTGATTCTTATGCATCTATAGTTGAATGTTAAATAAAAAAACAGGTGTGAGATTTGAAACCAAAAATTGAAGCAGCTAATCAGTCCCGGCTTTAAAACATACAAGGCAGTTGTGAAGTTTTCAACCTGACCCACTTCCCAAAATCAATGTCTGGTCATTGGCTTACTGATTTAGAGAAGTGGGCTGGACCAAAAACTTTTCAACTGCCCCCTTGCATAAATTAATTGGTGAGTTCATCTGTCTGTAGATTAAAATTTCTTTTGATGCTCTACACATATTTACAAGCTGTACAATTGAATGCCATTGAAGTAGCAATAAAACAATTCTATTTGCATACTGTTCCCATTTGTATGCATAAATTACAAGTTGTTCTTCCTCATTTGTCATGCAAACAACAAGACAAACAAAAAACGCCTTCATTTAAAAAGCCAGGACTTTAATGTTGAGCAGAGAGGGTAACAAAGCACTCTGTCCTAGATTTGCACTTAGCCAACTCTCACCTGCCAGGGTAGAAAACGGTCAACAGCCCACGAATATAAATTGTATACATGTCTACAAGAACAACAGGACACGCCTATACAAAATCGCACATATGTATCAGAACTTATGTTGACTTAACTTACAAGTCATTGATATATCTATGCAGTTACAATCAAAAGGACTTCTTGTCAGATAGCATTACTGTCGAGAAAAAACAAAAAAAAACAAAAAAAGATTTCAGTGTTCTTGATAGTGAGATTTGTAAAGTGTGGAAAGAAGAAAAAAGAAATGAGATAATTAAGAGTTAACTTGTCCAGCAACTTCAAAGAAAGAGTTTATAATAAAAAGGTTTGTTTGGTTAAAATAGTTTAAAAAATGGTTCTTTAAAATTTTCTTCATTGAATATATTACTTATAGTTTTTTTCCATTTTCTTCTGCCATCTTGCATGCAGCATCATGATTCCATTCTAACAGACTATTTTATCTTTCTCGGTAAAGAACTGCTCTTAGTGCCTTTTGCAGTCTTCCAAGGAACTGAATTCTTTCCAGTAAAAGAATTCTGCAAAGACTGGAATAAAAAGTCATCGCAATATCTGGTGAATATGTCGGATGAGTGAAAAAAACAAAAAACTTTCAAGGTAACAATTTTTACCTGGTCACCAAAGAAATGTGTAGTCTAGTATTTTGATGCATTATTACACTCTTTCTCTAAACTAATTCTAAACGTTTTTTTTTTTTGTTTTTTTTTTTGTCAAATGCTGTCTTCAATTGGTCTAATTGGGAACAGTAGATATGATTTGAATAAATCATTTGCTTCCCCAAAAGGATCTTACAGTTGAAGACTTCTTTACAGTCCCATCATACAAAGCAACAGTTTCTTTGCATCATGACCAACCATTTATACTCTTAGTGGTAGTACATTTTACTTGCTCCACCTCTTGTGCTCAAAGTTGCTGTAAAGGATACCTTTTTCATAAATTCATAATTTGTCTCAAAAATCGAACATTTAAATACAGTCCAATCTTTTTTTTTTTTACTTATTTGGATGCCATCAAAGTGACTAACATAAATGATTTTCAATGCTTGATCTGGTTATTTTGAGTACATTAGCTATTTTTTTTTTTTTTTTTTTTTGTCATATAGTATTGATTATTCTAAAGTCAAGTCTTGATTTAGTCCATATCAACCTAAACTGGTCTACTTGACTGGAGTATTATTTAGCAAGAAATCACAAATACAAAATTTCACAAGCCAATTTTGACAAGTTCAATCATTCACAGTATCTTCTCCATAAACTGCACAAATCTACTTTTCCTCGTTTTTCTATCACATTTTTACATTTCTTCAAATAAGACTCAATATATCAAAAATTACTGCTTGTTTTGTATATGATTTTCAATGTCGGAATCAATAAGCAATTTTGACTTTTTTTTTTTTTTTTTTTTTAATACAATACAAATAAAATATTTTTTTTTAATGTAATTAAAACTAAAAACTCCTAATGTAATTTAATGACAAACAGAAGTTACAATGAAGTTCATTCATCCTTGATAACTAGCAATGATAGCTCTACAACAAGCCTACACAGTTAAAAAAAAAATGTGAAGGTGCTACATTGATCACAGAAAATTAGCCACAGGCCACAAGAGTAAATATATAGAGTAAATTACTGAGCAAGAGTGAGATAGAAACAGATATGTAGAGAGGGGGATGGTGAGAAAATTCCACCTATTTCTAGAAAGAGTTAAAAGGATTAATGTTATGTTCCGACAATCCTTGTCAGAACTGTTATATTCCGAGCTAAGGGAATAAGTAACACCAGGTGGATAATAGAAGAAAGGTTTATTGTACATAATGAGTACAATATGAAATACGGTACAGTTATACACACAGGTCAATCTAGTAGTGAGCGTCACTAATTTGGAAGGTCGGACTTGCTTGCGTCTTCTCTCTCCCGTCTCCCCAGTCTCTTGTAGACAGTTGACTTTATAGGTACTTACTACCTATAGTGTAATCATTCATGGGGGTGCCAGTTTATTCCATTACATCAATTAATTAGGTACAAAAACAGTGCGGTTGGTTAAACAAGATCTGGCTTCTACAAAACTGAATTTTTCACAGGCAATCAGTCACCAAATTTATTTTGAGGAACACAAAAAATTTGCTATTTCAAAAATCCTTTGAAGGCCTATGTTTTGTACAAGCCTGCTCTCAATGTTTCTGTTTTTTATTTTGTGTTGAGTAACACAACTATATATAAAAGTATGATATAATTCTATTAACTCCCTTTCTATCTGAATATTTAATACACATAAAATTTCAACTTACCATTGAGAGGAACATCTGTAAATAGAGCTTGTGATTTTAAAATGAGATTTCCCAAATAGGGAGCCATTGTAAGAGTGGGTAACATCCAAAACACACCATACATTATTGTCATCAATAACCATGTTCTAGAGATAAAAGAAAAACACTTTAATATAGAAAAGTGAAAGTAAGTTCTTTTGAATGCAATTCATATGATAGACTGAATAAGAAATTGATATATGCAAAGACTTGGCTTATAAAATATTTTCAGCATTTAAAAATCAATGAAATTTAAAATCGCATTTAAATATGACAAAAATAGGAAGTAAGAATAAATGAAAATGATGTTTTTTTTCTAAGCATCTTGTAAATATATATAATAATGTCTGATTGCTCATTTTCAAGTACACTCATTTGCTAGGGAGTGGGTAGCTAATCTCTGTTGTAGATAAGCCTTCTAAAGTATATTTGTGTTTCTTCAACACCAACAGAGCCAAGTTGTGGTTTATGCTGCAACTACACTCTGCAAACCTTACGGTTTCTGGGAAGAGAAAGAGCACATAATCTGGTGTGATCAGTAATTGAAAAGGTCAGTATGCATAAACCATCAAGATTATGACCATATCATGTTGGAACATTGGTTCCTGTACAATTACCAAAGTTAAACAACATTGAGCTTGGTCAGTGCCTAGATGGGTGACCAGGTACAGTAAGCTTGGATGTGTAGGTGGTGTAATGGTTAATGGCTTGGAATTGTTAATAAGAGATCTGAGTTTCAATTCCCGTTGGGTTTGTTATATTGACTTATGTGAAAATACTTTTGAGAAAGATGGGATTCCACCTCATCCCCCCCACTATGGGCTAATTAGTAAAACTTGTATCACTAAACCATTATTATCATAAAAAATAACAAAGAAAAATTCTTACAATCTAAAACTAAGGTTAAACCATAGAAAATGAATGAATGAATGAATTGATCAATGCTTAAATTATCAGTCATAATGACTTGTGACTGTGCTAATACAACCATCTGAATGGTTTCATCTAACCAGTTTCACTCACAAGGCTTAGCTAAACCTGTAGTTTTCAGGCACTCCCCAAATAGTGTCACATGCAGGGATTCTCTCCCAGCTGTCACTTGACAAATTGATCACAATGAGATTTGGACCTGGATCTCATGTTTGAAAGATAAACATTCTAACAACTCGGTCACACACACACACACACATATATATATATATATATATAAAATGCAAAGAATTAATAGATTTATCTTTAATTGATACCTGTGTTTTATTTTTAAAACAGTGTGTATTATATCTATTGGTCTCATTCAGTTATATTTTAAAGTCCCTATCTGATCAATTTTCTATCTGAAATTTTTATTACTTCAAACATTTTTAATGAATATCTTTGTTCGAAATAAACACCCTGTTATTTTTTTTTTTTTTTTTTTTTTTTAAACGGTGTGTATATTGAATATTTCATTGACTAAAACGTAACTGTACTTTTTTTTTTTTTTTTTAAGATTAAAGTTGATAAAGAAATAAAAAATTATTTATGACCCAACCTAATATATAAATTTGACAAACATTAATAACTCATCTTAAAGTTACAAACAACAAATTTATTTATATTTTCTCCTGTATCTCAAATTATGTAAACTTAACAAATTTAAAAAATTTCAAATCACTTACAAGTTTTTACGAATTTTTCCAAATCCTGTCATTTTACCCATGGTGGGAGCAATGCCAAACCACAAAGGTAGAGCCATCTGGATGTGTACAAAGGAATCCATACATCTCTGTAATTTACAAATACATATATTACTTCAGAAATATTCTGAAAAGTGTTTACTTCAAATAAAAGTATTTATTACACAAAATTGGATTACTGAAACTTACCTTAAGAAAATCCTCTGATGTATAAAATGTTGGTTTTACATCCGGCAGTGTGAAGATTTGCTTCAACATGTCCCTGGTTGGTCCCTGATCTAGTCTGGCAAGCCCGTAGCCTAATACAACCAAAGTGCATGAAATTGCTATGGGGGCCACAACTGTCACAATCTGGAAATAAACAAATACAAATATAATATATATATATATATATATATTGGAGAAACCTGAATCTTTGATTTTTCCCATTCTGATGGAGTACTTGCAATTGAATTTGATTGGAGGAAAGCTAATTTGTGTTTTTTTAGGGCTCTGAAATCTCTTTTTGAAAAGCAATTTGCATTCTGCAAATTGATAATTTCATGCAACAAGTATTTGATCACCACCACCAGCAGGAGTGAAGGAGTCTGATGTTGGATAAACCCAAATCTTACAGATGTATTTCTAAACTAATATATATATATATATATATATATATATATATATATATGCACCAGATAACCATATATAAATTTTTATACATCAAGAACAATATTGGCAGAAAAGATGCATGACAATGTAGAAAAAGTTTTTGTGATGTGTTTTGTCCTTTAGAACTTCACTGGACTAAATTTGTAATATTCGTGTGATTACACATAAACAAACAAGGGATGCTGTGAATTTTAAATTCAAAATTTTTTTCTTTCTCTCAAAGGAGAAAACAATTCACTACAATTAAAATGTCTAAAGTGTGCTTTGATCGTAAGGTCATCCATATTAAATTTGTGCCCTGTTTCTAACAGATCTATTATCACAGTGTGGAATATCTAATAACAAAAGTGATGGAAACAAAGAATTTAAATGAAATCCTCTAGATTATATATAAAAGAAAAAGAAATTTTTAAATCCCCAGCATTACTTGTTTGTGTGTCTATTGTAGTCACACCAACATAACAAATTTAGTCTGATGTCCTAAAGGATGAAACATCACACAAAAACTTTTTCTACTTTGTCATCCATAATTCAGAATTTTGAAAAATACCAACTAAACAGCAAAACAAGACAATTTATAGTTTATAAATATGATTTTTTGACAAACTGCCTAAATGAAAGCAGTAATGATAATATTAGCCATTTCCCTACAAGGAAACATTTGCCATTCATTGACCAAGTAGTCAGTAATGCTTTTTGGTTGAAAATTAGAAAATCTTTAAAACAACTTTTCAGGAAAACAGGTTTCTCGGGTTCAGTAGCTGTTATCACTCTTTCTAATACTGTTGAGGGTTTCCTTCCTAACCTTTTATTTGAAGTATTGTGGAATGCTAACATCTTTGGTTGTTTCTACTATTGGTAGTTCTTATGTGGTTTCTGTTATTTGGTACAGTTCTTTGTGAACTGGTGCAACAGATTCACTAACAATGTTCATAGTACTTTTTTATTACCAAAGATGTTGGGAATATTTTCTTTCCCATCCAAAATGCTGATGCCTGAAAATGAACAAAATAATTCTTGAGATTGGCTCCAATAATCTTAAATATGGTCAAGTCCCTGGCTTTAGGAAGTCACCTAAAACAACCAGCATGAGACAAGCTGATAAAGAAAAATTAACTACTAGAAATCCCCTTTTTGTCTACACATTCTAAAAGATTTGTCACAAAGGCAGTTGTATCAGTCCTTGGAGTGGGCTGAGGTTGGATGCTGAGAAGTTGGGGGAGAGAGAGAGATTAGCACCACCTATATAGAGCAATGGTGCGATATGAGAAGTGAAGCATGTTGGAGTTAAGGGGTGGCTTGATTCCTCTGACCTCAAAAGGGAGCTGGACAACTTTTGAAAATATGGGATTTTAGAAAAAGTTTGATGCTAAGAGTCAATCTCACACCAGCAGGATAAGCTGGAGGTTTGGATAAAGTGAAGAATTCCCACATTACAACTACTAGAATCCACATCATTTGCCATGACCTTCTGACCTTGTGCCAGCCCTGAAGACCAGAACTTAGAAATTTAAATTACTACTAGAACAAGCTATAAACTCCAAAAGGGGGATCCCAGTGTCATTTGATTATAACAGTAAGTGGGAAAGGTTAAAACTGCTGTGTACAACAAATCATATATATATATATATACCAAATCATTGTTACATTTTTAACCAGTTAATTCTTTATTCCAAAGAATTTTTTTTAGCTCCCAGCTGTTGACTTGTTCTTTATTTCAGTATACATCATCAGCGATCTTCCCACCCTCTGAGATCAAAAACACAATGTGGCCAGAGCATGAAGGAGACAAACGCCAGCTAGATTGAGTGGAACTTTGATCATCACCACGATACCAGCAAGAAACCAGCTAGATGGTAATCACTGTGGTCTGAAGGAACCTGAAAACCAATGCAGGGAGGAGGGGTTACATATAATTTGTTTCCTGTTAAATCCTGTAAATCATTAGGATCATAGGGGCACCACATGTAAGTAACCTTAGCAGTAGTGGTGTGTCTTGGGCAAGATAGCTTAATAGAGCCCAACACTCTCCAGACTGGTTTGAATTCAAACTTGTCCTCCTTCTAAACTAGCTGACAACCAAGGCTATATGAACCAATCAATGGATTCATACCTTTCCCAAGGGTATTTGTGCATAAGTGAATGTAATGAACTTGAGTGGAATTCAAACTCATCTCTCTGATTTCTCGTTTCAAGCTACCATCTATAAAGGCCAAAAAAAATTTTCAGCAAAATTATATTCACAATAAGAGATTGGATTAAAAAAAAAAAAATTTCATTTTTTAAACTTTTTTTAAATCAAATAAGAAAAAAAAAACAAAAAAACATTGAATTTCTATCCTCATAATCACATTTTCAATCTTTATACTCTTTGGCATAAAACTTGCACAACTCAACGGGGATAGATATGGCCTGTAACATTCAGAACCTCTAAATCCAAGCTAGTAATGTTTCATCACAGAGAAAACCCTGAGTTTTCCCAGTAATGAACTGTTGTACTCTCAATGAGGCTCCTTGCCTGGAACATATATGAAGTCACAGCCGCCTTTAAGTGGTATGATCCATTGCTAAAGATGTTTTAAAAATGATTGGCTCCTTGTATCACACCAGAAAGTACCAACACCTCCTGCCATGCTCTATGAGAGACAGATCAGATCAAAAACAAAGTAGAGCTGCTACATATCAGACAGACCTGCCCAATCTTTACTTTCTAGCCTCGACTGAGTTCAACTCTACCAGTCCAGATCTTCACAGCTAGGACCCACCATGCCATATAAAACTCATCCTCATTCCCTTCATATTCCATTAGTAAGGATGGCATTCCACAGACAGCTTCTTTCCCACAACTGTTGCAATGTAGAATGAACTCGCAAGGGGATGCTTCCTGATCACTCAACTTTTATCTATCTTACATATCCTTATAATATGCAACACTTGCACCTTCCTTGTACACTCTTACAATATCCCCCATTCACTAACCCTCTACCTTGAGTGGCACTTAGGCCAAGTATTGAGTGAACTGTTTTACTCCTTCATGTCCTCGGCTAACTTCAATTGAATAAATACAAACTACTTCTGTTTTTATTAGTAAATGCATTAATTCAAAATCTTTTTTAATGAAAGTACTTTAAAGTAATTGAAGAAGATAGACTGTGACATCTAAACATGATGCTGTTTTTGCTCCATTCTAATTGAACACTTTTTCTGACTGACTAGCTGGGTACAGTTGCTAGTGATGAATAAAACTAAACACTTTTTAGTTTACATTGAATAAATTGTGAGCTATGGAAAGATATCTAAAAGCCTGTTTTGAGGCAGACCATAATGCGAGTGACGCTGCAGACCAATGGCACCATTGGTTTAAAACTTTCAGTGACTTTATTGGCATTATCGATTCTGAAGTTACAACCAGATTGTATGTACTTATTAACTTTCTGTCCCCAGTGATTTACAAACATGTTAAAGAATCAGCCTCTTATGAGACAGCTGTGGAAATGCTCAGAAAACTTTACAATAAGCCTAGAATGGAGTAATTGCACAACATTTACTCTCCAACGGCAAACAAGATCCAAACGAAAGCCTGGATTAGTACCTTGTCACAGGACTGCAATTTTCAGTCTCATACTGCTGAGGTGTGAAAAAAAAAAAATGAACACCTTACAGACACGTTTATTAATGGAGCATATTCCAGCTACATATGTCATGGTCTATTAGAGAACAAAACCTTAGAGGCATGTTACTTAGAGGTTAGCTAAAAAAGAGCCTGACATTTATACAAAGTTTGACTACACTATTAATGCAACTGCCTATTATACTATTACTAACAGTACCTTTTCTGACCAAAACATTGTGGCCACTTTAAGAGCTAAGTTTCTTCTGTGGGTTCAGAAAACACCCTCGTACATAATGCCCAGCCAGGGAGGCTATATACAAGTCCTGCAATAAGGTTGGACACTATGCGAAAGTCTGTAGGTCTAAACCCAAGTCTTCTGGGTCTAGTTCTTCAGCAACTACCTGCAATGCATTGGTAACCATACCCCTTAATTTGTCAAAAAATGTTCTACCTGGCTAGAATAAATGGCAAGGCTGTAAATGCACTACTCAATACTAGCAGCTTTTGAGATTTAGTCAATTAAATAACAACATTAGGGAAAATATCTACTGAAGATTCAAGATTAACAGTAACATAAAAACATATACATAATGACATCTGTATTGGAGTTATATAGAGATCTTTGATGGTAAATCTAAGATTATTTACGTTATATTGATGAGTAAAATTGAATTGTAAAGAATGGTACAAATGTGGATCCTCAAGTATGGTCTTGTTTTTCTCCATATGATCATGTGATGCATTGTACATTCTGGTTTTACCAAAAAAAAAAAAAAAAAAAAAAAAAGTTTTACAAACCAAGGTAAACAAAAATATAACCAAGAAAATTTTATTCTTTAGAGAAAAAAAAAAAAAAAAAACTTAATGGTAAAAGTTGCATGTTGGAATCCCACTTCTTACTCCAATCAAAACCCATACAGCAGAAGAAAATAAGCATGTCTTCTTGGTGCCACAAGGCAGAAACTAGGTCTAGACTGTTGCCAGAACAATTCACATGACCTTAAATAACACAGTAGAAGAAAGACACGTGCATCAGATAACATTAGATAACATATCACAAGATTTGCATCATATGGTAGTAAGTACATTAATAAGGAAAATATAAGAATTTAATAAACAAGAAAAGATAATCAGCCTGAAGACTGATTTTTTTTTTTTTTCATGTAAAAAGTAAATAACCCTCAATATCTTAGTACAAGAGGAAATGGATTTCCTGAAAGTAGATCCTATAATTTGGGGGGTTAATAGAGGAAATTCTGTGTAAAGTAAGTATAATGTATATAACCTTCTGTATATGTGATAAATTATTGCAAGATTTGTATTAATGAAAAATTGTTTGTTTTCTGTTTTTAATCCGTTTCGCCCCATGCAAGGTAGTAATGACACTTAGACACAAGAGGTTACTGGGTGCGGAAGAATTAGAAACAGAAACATTAATAATGAGTGGGAAGAGAAAAGATTAATCAGGAGGGCAGAAGATAGCAATTGACATTGCATTTAAATATTTACAGATTAAAGTTGGCTGGAAAGCATGTATCTGGAAGGGAGTTCCCCAAGCGATAAGTGTGAGAAAAGAAACTGTTAGCATAGCATTTATGGCTACATCTAGCCAGCTCAACTATAAATTGATATCTTGACACCAGTCTGGTACTGTGCTTGAATACATAATGTCTAGGTACCATAGTTAAGAGCTCATCTGAACACTTGCCATGAAAGTATTTAGGGAAAAGACATAGAGAAGCAACCATATGGTAGTGAGAAAGTGACTGGAGCTGAGTTGCCAGATCAGGATCAGTAATATTGCTGATTCTTCTTTGAATTTTATCAAGGAACTCAAGGTAAATAACAGGAGCACCAGACCATATATGGAAGCAACATTCTAAGCATGGATGAATGGTAGACTTATAGATGTGTAAGATAGGTCCTGGAGCTAAAAATTGTCTCGCCCAACATATTGAACTGACTTTTTTAGCAGCTGACCTAGCAATGAATTCAATATAGTATTTCCAATTCATATCAGCAGAGAATGTGAGCCTGGGAAGGTGCAACAAGTCACTTTCCTGGAGGTTAATATCAGCCATGCCGATGGAAGGCAGAGAGAGAGGTCACTCAAATGATTAATGGAGAGAAGTTTGGTTTTGGTAGGTGTTAAAATCAACAAGTCATCTTTTGCCCCATTTAACAACCGACTTGAGGTCTGTTGTTTAAATTATTTACTAATGCTCTTGGACAGAAATCAAGACAAAAATTATGGAAAAATTGGTTTCACACATTAAATTTTTTTTTTTATATAGAAATGAACTGAGAAAAAGGTATCACTGACCCATCCAAAGACACGTCCTCCAAGGGCAACCATTAGCAGTACGAGAAGCCAAACAGATGCTGAAGCAATTGGTAACATAGGTACAGTCATATGACTCACTGTCTCAGTAAAGCGCCAATGAGGAAAACCATGCACATGATCAATACCATCTGACAAATCCCAGAATTCAGCTCTGAAAAAGAAAATAATAATAATAATCTACACACACACACTTGTTCAGAAATAGTGATATGGTATGGATATGATCATTTGTGTATATATAAGATAAAATAATAGTAATGCCACCTATTGATATGCATGAAATTATATAATTCAGTGTATATCAAGGTGAATAAAATTTCTGTTAATAATTTCTTTTCTTTTTATTTCACCACAAGCAAGGCCATAATGATACAGGTTACTGAGTGTTAGAGAATATGAGAAAAAGAAAACCTTATTAAGGAGAGAGAATAAAAGAAACTTAAGACAGAAAAGATTTCCACAAATGAGAAGTGTGAGAAAAGAAACTGTTAATATAGAACTTACGGTTACATCTGGCAGCCATTTTAACAGCATAATAGTTATCTAGAGCAATAAATATTGTATCAGAAGTAATAAAAATTCACAATACTTATTGGAGGTCAACTGAGAATTTCTTGATTCCTCACTTGTCAGAATCCAAAACAAGAATGACTTAATTATTACAGAATGTATTATAGATTTGATTAATATAAAACTTATTAATAAAATCATTTTTGTGTGGGTCCTGACAAAAAAGGAATCACAAAACTGAGTCACACTCTAAGTATTGTGAACTTTATTTACTTTTGATACAATAGCTAGATATACATATGGTAAATATATATATAAAACAATTTATAAAATTTCTACTTTCACATGTTTCAGTGATTGACTGCCATCATCAGAAAAATAATTTTGACAACTTTATATATATATATATTTGAAGATATACAGTAAATGTATTTCTCAACAGACATTCATAAATGTCTATTTTAACTCTATATTTCTAATGTTTCTGCCTAATCTCTGAAATTGTTTACTTTGTTTTTTTTGGGGTTTTTTTTCCTTCAATAGTAGATAGGTTAACTGGTGTAGAAGTTTATTCCTTGTTTCCTGTTTAGGATTGGGTTTCCAGTTCCTTCTAAAATCTTATTCTCTTTCTCTTTCACTCCCAGTAACCCTTTTGTTTCTTAGTGATATTATCATCTTGCTTGGGGTGAATTGATTAAAAGAAAAAAAATTATCTAAACACCTTGAGACAGGGTGTGAAAATGTTTGAATAATTCAAAATTCTGTATAATTGAATATTTAGATTATTTAAAAAAAAAAAAAAAATGGCAAAATGAAATTTAACATTTATAAAATCAAATCACATTTAATGTTATAACATTTTGTTCAAGGTTTTCTCCAGTTCAATTTGATGAAAAATTGCCTCAATTTTGTCTGTTTCTGGCTAACTTCACATTTTTCAGCCACTAACTCTCAAAGTTGAATTAAAGTAGATATATTTATAAGGGTAATGATTTTGCTACATATTGGGCAAGCAAAAAGACATTGTATTTCCCATTGAAGCATGGTGCACATGCATCTAAGAGTGGCACAAGCAATAATTTCTGGTGTAGTTAAGCTGTGATAATCCAAATATATGTTCTTTGTATAAAAATAACAAGAGAATTGGTCTGATTTTAGCAGCAATTTTATCAAAAATTGAGTATTTTTTTTTTAAATTCTTACAATGTCTGTCAGAGATTAAATATTAGAATGTGTTTAGTTCAGATAATTAAAAATATTCAGATGATTTTAATTTTTTTTCTCTTTATTTCATATCTGAATAATCAAATTCTGGATAATTGAGGAAATACTGTAGTGACTAGAATGTTTCTTTTTGGCTATGTTGTGAAGGAGTGGGTAGAAATATTGGTTTTATGACTAACACTTCTGTTGTAGTCAGATGTCAAAGTGTCTTTCCCACTTCAGCCATGATATAATCTGACTGATCTCTGGTTGACATAAAAGAAGAAAGCCTCCAAGATTAAGGCAGAGATTGTTGGTTCTCTGTGAGAGTAATTGGTACAAAGCCTGGTGGTATTATGAGCTAGCAATAACACCCAGGGTTGGTCATAATGATGATGGTTCTGAAACCATGAATACAGGATCATCAACTGATGAGTATTTTGTTGTAAGAGGAAGAAATCCATTTGCACAAAATTCTGATGTTCAGGAAGTGGGCTGAGTCAAAAACTTTTCAGCAGATTATTTTAATGCTTCCTGTATATGGAAGGTATGCTATGGAAATCAACAGTGGGCACTGCAAATCCATTGCTGCTGTTATGTTGAGAATATATATATATATATATATAAAATAGCTGGCCTTCGTATTCGAGGATATCCGTCTATTAGGGCAGCTAGCAAATCCCTATTGCAGACGCTCGCTCAGGCACATTTGTGTTTGTTCAACACTCACAGAGCCCACCTGCAACTACGCTGAACAGACCCTAGTTGCAGTTTCTGGGTGAGAGCGTGTTATCTAGCATGATCAACAGTCTGAATAAGGCCAGCACACTCAAAGTCTCGGCCACGATGACTTGTGACTTCATGCTAGCACAGCTATCGACGGCCCCCAAGTGTTCTGTTTATCCAGTTTCACTCGCAAGGCTTGGGCCAACCTGTGGCATTGTTTTCAGGTGCTGCATGCTGGGATCGCCCCCTCCAGACTGATAACATCAGGAAATCTGCATCCTGCCAAATCAACCGTGGTGAAATTTGAACCTGGGTCTCAGTCAGAAAGCAAACTTTCTAACCACTTGGCCACATGCCCATTTTATATATATATATATATATATATATATATATATATATATATATATATAGTTTTAAGGTGTGCTATATTTATTGGATAAAGTGCTCAATAATAGAGATAGAGCATATGTAAAAAGAACGTGAACATTGAAGTCAACACTCAGGTGACACTGTTTCATGCTAAATGCAATCAGGCCTGATGATTGTGTTTAGCATGAAACAGCCTCTGAGTGTTGACTTCAATGTTCACTTATATGTGTGTGTCTGGAAATGAGGAAAACACTGCATGTTAATTGTTAGTTTCATACTTGG